ATTGATTGACTGATTGATTGATTTATTTATTTTCAGATCTAAGAACAACATTGTCAATAGACGTAAGGGAAATGAGTTTTAGTGATTTTTCTAGTGAAAACCAAACAAAATGTATTGTTAGGACTGAATTTTGTTGTTTCTCTTATTCGATACACATTTTATGGTTGGTGATAAAAGCTTTATTTCCCTAAATACAAATCTAGCACTTACGACAATAAGTTGGCAGTTCGTCTCTTTGTGTGTATATACTTTAAATCCTTAAAGCACATTTCGCTCATTCATATGTTCAATTTTTCTGAATGCTTTATCTTTAGTGTTAAGTTTAATAAATTGTTTATATTTAAGCGATTTAGAAAGTTCAATTAAACGTTTCAGAAGGTCCTGCAAAACCATTGACTTTCAAGGGTTGTATCAAAACCTGCCTGTATGTGTACTTGAAAGTAACGAAGAGGAAATAAATAAATGGGGATTGCCTTCCCATTATGAATGCAAAAAATTACAGGAAAATTATATAAACCCCTTTGTTGTACATAGCGATTAGAAATATGTCTAAGTTTAGAGCACGGCAGTTTCATTTTCAAGTTTGAATACTGTCTGAAAGACCCAACATATTAAGTCAGAAAATAGTCTTATTCTAAATCTTAATCAGTTTGTGTTTCAAAGAAAATTATTACTCCTTTGTAATTTTTCCTTTAATATATGAATAAAATGCACATGAACATTAACATTTTCCAGATTATATTCAATCGCGCCTACTGTATTTATTAACTTTTCCTGGAAGATGAATTTTATCAAAGTATAAAAGCACTAACTAAAGAATTTGTTTATGAAACGGTCTTCTGTAAGTCAAAAAAGACATAAAAGTGCTCTTACATCTTAGGACTTTATGAATTTTTGTAAATGACTAAATTACTTCTGGTGCAAAATTAATGGATTTTCCGGTTAAAGAAGCTTTTTAGCTGAGTAATGTTCCTTATATGAAAAAGGGGTGTTGGTCTGTTATTCGTTTTTTTTGTTTCCCGCTACACAGTAAATACAACATGCTACAAAGAAGGGCCATGTAGGGAACAAAGTGTCAAATCAGCCCTCAATATACCTGCTGAATTGGCTACCATTAGGCGTTACAGTCGTATGATCACTAAGCGCTCTTTGTTCTTGTTTACTGTATACCGCATTACATTGAATGGCACAAAGTGTCACATTGAATGTGCCATGATAACCAACGTATAAACACATCTTAGGATGCTTCTAATTATAATTTAAAAAATAAAGAAGTAAAAAAAAACTGGTACAGAATAATCACTTGAACTTTAACGTCGTTTGTTTGTTGTTGATTTTTTGTCAAGACAAAGCCATATAGTACACAGCTATTTAAAAGGAGTTTAAAAGAGGAAAAAAGGCTCGATTTGATTGATCTCGATCATGCATGAACGGTACTGGAAATTGCAAGCTCGCACACCCCAAGCAACGGCTGAATTCAACAATTATACAAAAAATGGTAAAATTTGAATTTAGAAATTAATAATCCGATCTATCCTGACATATTTTGTCAACTAGGCTCTTCCGTTTTTGCGTGCACTTACACGTGATATAAAAATATATATTATTAATACAAGATTCCATAATGAACTTAGTTTCACGTCTACATCATGAACAACTGACCTCTGTATTCTTTTCTTAATATAGATTTGAAATCATATTCAGAAACAAAATCATAATTGTTACATGTGCTTTGTCCTTTGTGACTATATATATTTCCTGCTATATTAATCCTAGTTTTACACACTGTGTAAGCCTTTAATTTTCACCTTGAATAACAAGCAAACAAGCAAATATTGGTTCACCATGTCCCGAAAATTGGCCGTTAAACCAAACACATGCAAATTCACCTAAGTACACTATTGTTCAATTGTTAAATCATGTATTAAGTATTGCAACACATTCTCAGACTTTTTTGAAATTTCAATTTCGTCAAGGTCTAAATAATTCTTCGGTTATGTTTGCACTTTTTTAGAGGACTTAGAACTACATTAACAAAACAGAATAAATTGTGGTTTGTCAATTTTTGAACTTTGTATCGTTATTTTACTCCTTGCTGAAGATATGGTTTTAGTAGTACATTCTATAGAAGATTTCAACTGATAATTATACGGGTTCATTTGTTTTGCATAATCAATATATTATTGGAAAAGCCGTAAAAGCATTTAACGTTTTACAAAGTAACATCAATAAGGTAGAATTATCACCATATATTTCTTTAAAATTATTTGATTCTTTTGTTGGCTCTATTCTGAATTATGCATGCCCTGTATGGGGATTTTCTAATTAAAAAAATATAGAACGGTTACATCTCAAATTTAGCAAATATATTTTAGGCGTTAAAAAAGTTCAAACAATAGTGCTGTATACGGAGAATTAGGACGATACCCTTAATATATAAACAAAAATGTTTAAATGATAAAATAGTGGTTGAAAATTTCAAATTCAAATAATATTATTTTAAATACGATATATAAAAACTCATTATTACAATGTTTAAATGGTGTCAAAATTTGGACATACCATGTTTAAATATTATTAGAAAATAGTGGTTTTGCAGATGTATTATTAAAAATCTAAGGGAAAATTATTATTGAATCCCAAAATAAACCATTAATATAAATTTGAAATTTTTTTTTGGTTTAAAAATTTTAAAAACAAAGATTTTTTTGGTTTTCCCTTAAAAAACAAAAAGGGGTAACAGATTAAACTAAAAATTTTTTTAAAAACACTCTTTATATTAAATTTAAAACATTTTTTAAATTTTTTGAAAATTTTTTTAAAATACCAAAAAAAAATTTAAAATTTAGGAATTTATTTTTTTAAACGCTTTTAAAAAAAAAATCTTCACTTAATTTTAAAAATTCAAACAGGAAAGATTATTTTAAGGATAGAAAAGATAGACAGGAAAGTTTCAAATCTCTGAGTTTTGAAGAAAAAATATTTTTTATTCTTAAAAATGAAAGTTTTTTCCCAAATAAATTTAAAAGTTTTTCGATTGATTAAACTTTAAATTTTTATCAAAAAGACCTTGTTTTTTTCCCAAAGTTCAAAAAGAAATTTGTTTGGGACCAAAACAATAAATCAGTTCAAAACAATTTTTAGAAAAATTTATTTAATTAACCAATTTTAAAAAAAAAAATTTTTTAATTGGGAATTCTATCTCAAAACTTTAGGACTTTTAACAATGTTTATTTTTTTTTTCCCCCCTTTTTAGACCCTTTTTGTTGTTAGATTTCTTGTTTAGTAAAAAATTGCTGTTATTTAAAATATTAATTCATACTTTATTAGATGTGTTTAAAATTTCTCCATTAGTAATAAATTTGTATAACATTAAATATATCACTTATTTTCAATTGAAATACCTATAACCTCTGACTATAAAATGTTTTATTATTATTCTAGTTGATTGTATATACAAATGAATACATGTTAAATGTAAGATGTTAAATAATATTTTCTTCTTCGATGTAATAAATTGACAATTTAATTGAAGATAGAATTTTTAATTGACAAAAAAAAAACAGTCTAATTGATAGCGAGGGTAATTTTTAAACGTACCAAAACGTATTTAGCTATTTAAAAGCGCTTTCTAAAAATAGCTGTGAAATAGCGATATTATATTAACCGTAAGACTAATGAATTAACGAACTTCATGACGTCAACAAATGTAAACATAGTGGTTTTAAAACGTATTTTAATTTTAGGGCTCGATTACAAAACAAGTTTTCACAAACTTATTGTCAATTAATTTTTGAGCAATTTTAAAAATATTTTAAACTGCATAAATTAACGTTTCCTAGGGGCAATAACCCCCCAAAAATTTTAAAAAAACATCAAAAAAAAACGTAAAAAGAAACTGTATTAATTCATTTTTCATGAAATTTGAGCCTAAGGGCCCCAAAGTCTTAAAAATTTGGGCGTTTTCAGATACATGAAAATGGATTTAAAATTTTTCAATTTTTAAAATACAACTTCATAAATTTAAAAAAACTTTAAACTGAATTTGGATTTTCTTAAAATTAAATTTTTTTCCCATTTTTAAACGAAAACTTAAAATTTTTAATTTGAAAATTTTAAAAAATTTTTAATTTAAATTTGTGGTATAATTGGAATTTTTAAATCTTTAAATTAAAGAAGTTATTTAGGGTTTTTCGTAAGTATGTTATACTTAAAAAAAAAAAAAAAAAGCTGTTGTAATATTTTTTTAATGTTTGAAAAAATTTAAAAACCCCAAAACAAAAAAATTATTTTTTTATTTTAAACAGGTATAAATTTTAAAGGGTTTTTTTTTTTTTAATTCTTGCAAAAAAAAAACATTTTTTTGAGTTAAAAAAAGCAAATTTTTTTTTTTTTTTTTTTTTCCGCCCAAAATATCAATCCGAATATTTTCGCGTCTTAAAAAAAAACTTTTTAAAAATCGCTAAAAAAAGGAGTAAAACTGTGCATCCCGTATCTTTTAAAAACTACAACTTTTTAAACGGGAAAAGTTTTAAAAACAAAATTTTTTCCCGGTAGTAAATTTAATGGGGAAAAGGTTAAAAACCATTTAAAAATTTATATTTTTTTGTTTTTTTTGGGAAAAATGTTAAGTGATATTCTTAACTTTTTCCCCCTTCTTTTTCCCCCCAAACCGGAAAACGGATAAAGATTGTTATATTTGTTTCAGTATAAGTATGCAAGACTCTTTGCTAAGCCTTTATTGTACCTTAATACATTGTAACTTAATTTTATAATACATTCGACATGTTTAAATTTTTCTATAATAGTGCATCTTAAACTTCTAATACATGTGACACACCATTTTTACTGATCTTGCAGATACGTATAACCACAGAAATGAAGGATTATAAAACTAGCATCGTTTCGTCATGCTTAAAACATAATATATTTGAACGAAATGCCTATACGTTGATCACATAATATATAATAATATATATGTTTTATTCTCGTGTATAGGTTGGTTTTCATAGGAATAATGTTGTCTCAGGAAACGTCAGCATTCATACTAATATTGCTCGTTGATATGGTATTTACTCGTAAGTTTTTTTAACTTCATGATAATGTTTACTTAAAAGAATACAAATGTGTTAATTTTAGTAACAACATGATTTTTTTTTATTTTTACCTAAATGCTTCTAAAATAATTTGACATTATATGTTATCCTTTTTAAATTTTATTTGATTTTCTTGTGGTCACGTTTAAATCTTTTATATAAACGTATTTATAAATTCTGACTGCATATTTATAGTTCCTTACATATATATTTGGAAATACAAATGCATATATATTACTACAAAATTGTAAATAGGATAAAAATAAATATTTACAGAATGTCCTGTTGGCTGCAAGTTATGTTCCGGTTCAAATTGCACAAGTTGTGAATCATCTTACTTTTTATCACATGATTTGTGTTCACCATGTCCCAAGCATTGTGACAGCTGTAACAGCTGGGATGACTGTACTTTATGTAAACCAAATAAGCATGGTTTGCATGCAAGATGTGATTTCAACTGTGATGGTAATTGTCTAAACAGTGAATGCGATGATAAAACTGGAGATTGTACTCAATGTAAGCCCGGTTTATATGGATATCAATGTCAACACAATTGTAGTTTATGTGAAAATGAACGTTGTGATTTACGTACCTGCTCGAGTGATTGTAGAGCTGGATATTATGAGATTAGGTTCGGTGCCGTAACATTTTGTCAGGATTGTCCGACAAATTGTAAACATTGCACGGATGGGAAAGCATGTTATATTTGCAATGATAGTTTTCACCTCTATAAGTTTAATGACAATGTTCACTGTGTGTCATGTTTGCAAGCACGGCAATGTCCGGACTGTGTTATCCAAGGTTGTAACCAGTGCCAAATACACAATGATTCGTTAGTCTGTGCGGATTGCCCAGAAGGACAAATATTCAATGGTAAAACATGCGTATCACACACAGCATTGTGCTCAAAAGAATGTTCTACGTATTGTGATGGTAATGGAATATGTCAAGGCGAATGTAATAAGGGCTGGACTGGTGAAAAATGCTCCGAAAGATGTAACAGTCAATGTTTAAAGTGCACAAAAGAGAACCGAAATAGTTGTCTACTGTGTAAAGGTAATTATTACTAAACCGATTGCAGTTTAGCCTGCAACCCGGCATGCATATTAATGAGTGGTAAACATACCTGTGAACATACAGGCGGATATTGTCTAAACGGATGTAATCAAACATTTTGGGGCGACACCTGTGATAAATCTTGTAAAAATCTTAAATGTGATAGAAACAACGGTGCATGTACAGATGGATGTAGGGATGGACTGACCGGAGATAAATGTACTCAAACTATCACAATCGGTTAATTATGTGCATATGATTACTGCCAGGAATGCATTTCAAAATAATTAATTCATAAATATGTCCTCTGGTTTAAATCAAATTCATAATTACCATAAATATCGATTATTCATAAATATTCGTCATATGTTGGAGTATTAGGGGCATTGAAATACTTTTTTGCCTTGTTTACACATGTTAGAATTACTTTGAACGTTGGTAACTATAACGTGCACGTTTATACGTTTTCATTTTTAACTCGTGTAATGCATCAAGAAGATATAATGTCGAATAATACTCATTCTCACCGAATAAAGTTTATAGAACATATTATGGTGGCATTTGAAAGATATTGATTCGAAAGACTGTTTTAGTCATTTTAGTTGGCCGGAAATCGGACCCTCAATGTTGAGATTACAAATTTTGCGCTCTAACAGATTGAGCTGTGCGAGCTGGCTTGACATAGATGACTGTTTTTGCATTTAATGACAAAATAATTGTTCCAGTAATCATTAGACTATAGTTAGGGTAATATTTATTACACGTCAATGTTATATCTACAGAAACATCAATAATAGCAACAACATCAACAACAACAACAACAACATCAGACAAACCTTTAATACAACAACAAACTTGTGCACGGTGTGAAGATAAAGCTGATATTTTTACCATTGGTTATTTCTCTGGATTTGGATCTTGTGCTGCAATAGTAGTTTTTGCTGTATTGTTCTTCCTTATTAGACGAAGGTGAATGTTTTCGCTAATTTAACTATTATACAAGATGTTTGTTCTTAAAGCAGCACGCCTCCAGATTCCTGCTAATGTTCATGAAAATTTGAAAATGTATTCATAAGTAAAATATTGTTAAGCTGACAGAGAAAATAATATGCACATTTCAAATGGCACTTACAACCAATGTAAATTACAAAACTGAGGTCAAAATATGCAAAATTAACCCTTACTGCGTTAGTAACGCAGTAGAAATATGGTGAAAATCACTGAAAAATTGGCCATTAATCGCAAATAACATGGAAATTATTACTTTTATCTTTAGTATTTTTACTTTTCATAAAACCTCAGTACATTTTTCTCAAGTTTTATTTTCTTGAAATATTTTGGCTCATCTGGAGGCATGCAGCTTCAATGTATAACAAATTATCTTTACATATGAGATAAATAATAGTAATGATAATGATGATGATGATGATGATTATCGATCAATCATGGTGTTGTTGTCTCCTTTTATTTATTATCATATTGACATGTTTGTTCTTTCAAGTTTATCTTGTCGGTTGTTACTTTCTTTTTTACATATTACTAAAAAATGACTTTTATAATACTATAATAATTATAAATTATACACTTTAACACAGGTATGTTGCAAGAAAAACGCCCCAAAACAACAAACCAAATATTGAGAATCCAACATACTATAACACTAGAACTGATTTCGGCGCTGTAAATGCTGAGTCGGCTGATGTGACTAATAATTACGAGAGTTTGAGTAATAACACGATCACGGATAATGTATACAACGGTATTTATTATGTTTTCTATTTCATAAATCTAAAATTATGATTAGTTTAAGTACTTGGTTTCATTATTCTTCATATTATATATTTATTTATTTATTTTCAGATCTAGGAACAACATTATCGTAGATGTAAGAGAAATCAGTTATTGTGATTCACTAGTGAAAACAACAAAATGAAGAGTTAGACTATATCTGTTGTTTCTCTTATTCGATGCAAATTGTATTGTGGCGATAAAATCTTAGATTCGTTATCCCAAATATGCACTTACGACAACGAGGTAACAGTATTGTCCCTTTGTGCGTGAACACTTTTAACCTTTAATGTCCATTTAAGCTTATTCACATGTTTCGGGAATGCTTTATCATTCGTGCTAAGTGAAGTATATTGTTTAAATTAAAGCGGTCGGGAAAACTCAAGCTAACATTTCGGAATTCCCCTAAGACTGCGTCGAGATAGTGTCAATTGCCTATGTCTGTGTACTTTGAAAATCAGCAATGATAAAATATCATGAATTCCCTTCTTTTATGATTAATCAAGATACAGTAAATGTTGTTCAAACCTGTGAACATAAACTAGGATAAGAAATATGTGTCAGCTTAGAGTGTAGCAGCTTTTTCAAGTATGACTTCTGCCTTGAATGTTGAACTATGGTTCTGAAGGGTTTTACATAGCAATTCAGAAATCTGAAATCAGTCTTCTTACAAAACTTATATAAATTTGTGTTTCAAAGGAAATGTCCTTAATTATGACTCCTTTGTTAATGACCCCTTTAATTCCTGAATAGCAATGCACATGGAAAAATAACATTTTGTGGATTAGATTATGCGCAATCGGTTTTTTTAATATTTCTTAGGAAGACGATTTTAATCAAAGTCTAAAGTATCTGACTAATATAAAATATTTAAGCTGTCGTTTGTTTGATATTGTAAAAGCTGTCTTACATCATTCGACTTTAAATACATTTAGTACTTTCTATGAAACGCAACCTTGACTTGAATCATTCGTATGCAATATATCTGCCATGGAGTGCATACGAACGTCTTTTAGATTAACTCAAACACAATAGGTTCAGTTTCTAAAATGATTTTTACGCATTACTCAATTTATGAGAAAAAAGTCAACAGTAAATTGTTTTTCTTCCTGTAACAAAATGCAGTAACATATAGAATAAACAGATAATGAGATTATAGCAAAAAATATAAGTTTAATAGAGAAATAACATACTTTCTTTGGACCAAGTATCAAATACTAAGTTCCTTTCTTTTTAATTTTTAAAAAAAAACATCATGGTTATTAGTTATGGCACTTTAAATTTATTAAAGTTACGTTAATTAGTTACTTTTCTTTTACTACGAAATACTACCGCGTTATACTTAAATACGTGCATTTAGTCCTGCGTGTTCTGTTTTAAAATGCTTCAATGTTTATTACCCCTTTATAGAAATATTTGCACATTTTATTTTCATATCATGAAAATGTCATTAAAATATGGCTAAACCTGGGGTTACTGATGCATATTATATATTCAAATCTTTACATAACTTTGAAAACGAATTATTTACCATAATTAGGTAGTTTTCTCTACTTCCATCTAGCGATGTTGTAAGTACAGATATCATTTTGGTAAATACATATGTATAGGCATATATTATTGTAGCATGGAAACTACGGCTCTCGTGTGTTTCTAACTTATTTACCTTATATTTCTTTAAATACGTTGTTTCCGAATATGTCAGTCCTGTATTTGCAAAAGGCTTAAATTAAATGTCCAACATACTAACTTACCCATTTTGTCATAAATCTTATCAGTATGTTAAGTTTACAACACAAACATATGAAATGTTACATTATCTATAGTATGTTTAGGTAATAAATAACACTAAAATGTTGAATAATTACATTGTTATCTAATCCTACAATATTACTTGTTCTAAATATAAAATGTGTAAGTTTGTTAACTTTACCTTTTTTTTATTTCCATTGATCAATATAAATTCTTACTTAATTGCTTTTTGTTCAGACAGATACTAAGTCCTAGATATTGTACGCATATGTCGATATGTCAATGTTACAGAAAAAAGTCAATTCGGTGCAATAATCAAACTGGCAATGTCATTCCAATAGAAAATTTTAATTTATTATTGAATCATAGTAAGCGTGACATACATATATACTATGGTTATATAGAAACAACAACATTTTATCTTTTATTTCAAAGTTAAATATAAAATTCATACTTATACCATTGAATAGTCTATCATTGACTTGACATTTTACATTATTTGTTTTTTGTTCAATTTTGATGATGTTAGATAATAATACATATTAACAACGGTTAGTAATGTTCTTTCAAACTGCATCAATTATACAAGCACTGTTTGCTTATAAAATATTTGCTCGTAAGTACTATATTATAATCCATGATCTGTTTAATTAACATATGAGTGATAAATTTTGGAAAATACATTAACTGTTTATATTAAATATCGTTTTAAGTTTTGGTTGCACGAAGATTTTGTGTTTTAGCCGTATTTATATATTAACTTTAAGAATATAACTGTTAAAGTAGCTATAAGAGTATATTTTAAAACATATCACTTAAATGTATTTGATGATAATTGTCCAAATAGTAAATACATAAATGATCCGCTATATTAATTCCAATCCTAGCCTGGTTTTAATATGCTTATATTTACATAAATGCTTGCAAGGTTGTTAAGTTGGGTATTATCAGTATTAAACCGGATAATAACGGTATATTAAATTTGTTCGTAAAATTGTCATCATTGTTCGGATGTGAAAACATGTTAATCATGCAATGATGGTTTCATTTTTATAAATTTGATGGCAATGAAAACGGATTCCCGTAAAAAGGACACCAAAGAGATTGTACGTGGACGAAACTGAATGTACGAGTTACAATCCCTGCCCTCTTAAGTACAGTGTTCGAATTAAATCTGAAATCTAACTTGCCAATAGGGCAATTTATAGATGATTCCAACTTGCCCCCCCCCCCTTGCCCCTTTTATGTTTGCGGAGAAAGTCAAAAATCAACTAGAATACAAATTTGAATTGAAAGTGGTTCAATTTATGAAAGTGATATTATGATAACCTATCAACATGAAACACAATGGAATGTATTGTAGTCTATGTAATTAACTAATAAATTGTATTAATATTGTGTCAAGCTATGTTACCTGATATACAGTTGATTAATACTGTAACTTTAGTTCTCAAGTCATATGTTAGCCAAATATAAATGGCAAATCATTTACTCCTCAATCTCATCTAACAGCATACTTCAAAGAATTCCAAAAGTGCTCTTCAAGCATACTCTAATCTAACATTTAAAATTTGTCTATTTTCTATTACCTGACATCTGATAAAGTAGAAAATAAAATCACAAATGCTAAAGAGAAAGTGAACATATTAATTTTGTCTACATTGCAATGGATCAGAATATAGTTAATTTTGTCATCCATCATGTACATTAAGTGACGGTAAAAGAACATAATTTCTGAAATCTCATAAGGTCATGTGAGTTATTTATTGTCCATGCATAGATAATTATAAAATTGAAAGCAATTATAGCAAAATGTCAAATTATCTTAATATTAATCTGTTCACTCATTCTATACCTTTGGATGGGCATAATAGCAACTTTGCTCAATATATATTTGAAATTAATTTATAAAAAAAACATAATTGTTACAAGTGCTTTGTCTTTAAGGAATTTGTTGGTAATATTTTGTTTTAGTTTCAACACATTGCCCTGTTTACATGTATAATTGTTTTTAAATTAAAAATGGAATTTTAATTACAAAACCTCATAGTAGGGCAATTATAACTTGCAAACATACGAGGGTGTTCAAATAGGGATGCAACTAGGCCAATATCTCGTTTTTGTTAACCACATTTTGTACAAACTATTTGCATGTATCGCTTTGATGGTTGTGTAAGCTCTCGAATGATACAATACATGTGTAAATCAGTCCAATCTAGCTTTGACAATAGCTCGATTAACGCTATCTACTCGTGTATACTAAAGCTAAAATGGTTGGGGAAAAGTCTCCTTACACTAACCATATGCGGTAATATATCAAGTATTCTAGGTATACAGGCGAATGATATATTAAATGAAATATGCGTGTGTATGCGAACAATTAACATATTTTTTCATCTGTCACACGGTGGTGTAAGAAATAAGTGGTGTGGATTCAGTAAAGGATGCACATAATGCATGCCGTCCGGAAACTGCAACTTCGCCAAAGAAGGTTGAAAAAGTTAAGGATTTGATTCATACTGATGCAAGATTTACAACTAGGTATAGGGCTAAATGCGCTCATATCTCTGAAGGAGCTGCTCATACAATCATCAGCCGTGATTTAAAAATGAGAGGGATAAGTGTCAGACGGATACCCCATCTCCTTACAAAAGAGCAAAAACTTGCTCGGTTACGAATCTCCAAACAGTTGTTGAAACAATTTTCTAAATACAACAATCGATCTTTCGCTAATACCGTCACTGGCGTTTCTTTTTTATGAACCAAAGCAAAAGGTACATGACAGAATGTGGGCAACCAAAGGAAGTCTAAGACCTTGCATAGCAAAAGGCATAATGAGCGTGAAAAAGTTTTATGTATGTAATATTCATTACCAATCATGGACCTTCTATTCACATTGACATACCAAAGGGTAAACCTGTATATGCATAGTTCTACAAAGGCAAGGGCCATAGTCAGCGGTCATTGTATGTCGAGCTTCCTAACCTTCCTCATTCGTCAGATCTTGTCCCTTGTAAATGTTTCCTGTTTCCGGGGCTTAAGAAAAATCATTGCTCGAAAAAAATATCAAACGCGAAAAAATCGGTTCAGCTATTATCCAGTGTATGAACAGTATGCCTCGATAAGATTATGAAAACGTATTTAAAAAATGGATTAAAGGACTTAAACTTTGTACATCACATAATTATTTTGGCACTGTTTGTTAAGCACTTCTGAAAATTGACCCACTTGCATTTATATTTGAACACTTTTCGTATTCAACCATTGAAAACCGCTCTAAAATTGCAACAATGGCGACATATTAACGTTAGGCTTATGAATTAACGATTTCAAGATAAAACGTTTGTCGTGGTTTAAACACATTTATCTTAGCTCGATTGGGAAACAAGTTCTAGCAATTTATATTTATCCATTTTAACATATTGAATACACAAATTAATGATTTCAATATTATGCATTTGCGTTTTCAGCGTCACCACTTCACGATTTCACTAAAACGTGATTGTTATTTATTCAACTTCAGTAATTTCAACCTTACGGTTTCGAATAAAACGATTTCGCGCTTTCACATCCATGAAATTACAAAATCAAGAATTTAGAATTCAAATTCTTGAATCTATAATATTAAATTAGTGATTTAAATTTCATGAATTTATTTTGACATCTTTACTAGTATTTGTATGCAAATTTGTTAAGTTGAATGTGTGTATTTTTGAGCAACAATGAAGTTAAAAATTGTGATTACGTAATTTCGATCATTTTAAAACCGTGAGGTCGACAATTATTTATGAAGTTAAAAGTTTAGAGACTTGAATTCATGATGAAGTTGAATTGATGATTCGTGAAATCGAAAGCGGGAATTCTTTTAGCTTCAATCTTGCATTCATGGAGTTTAAATCGCGAATATGGGAAGTTTCAATGTAACCATCGGGCTTTCGTAAGTATGTTATACATTTTAAGCATTTTTATAATATGTTGTATGCTTGAATACATTTACAATCTCCACAAAGTAGATTATAATTGACTTTCATTGGTATAATTTAAGTTTTTTTTCTGAAAATCGCATTAGCAAAATACAGTTTTTGATTTAAAAGCGATTTTTCCTATTTTTGACCGTATCAATCCGAATATTTTGCGTCTAAAAATAACATTAAAATCGCTATAAAAAGTGCCACTGATGCATACCGTAACAATTTAAATCACAACATTTAAAGAGGAAGTTTTAAAGAGGTAAATCTAGAAGTGAGTAATCGGGTAGCTATATATTTATCCGTTTTTTTTCTTTTTATTGTTTTGTGTGTGTGTGTGTGTGTGTGTGTGTGTGTGTGATGTTTTAGGAATATGTA